AGAGAACCATTGGAAAACCAGCTACAAGGAGTACTGCCAGACAGCTGTCTGTTTCATCAGCCTAGTTTGGGACTCTACTTCAACAGTACACACCCTTACACAACCGGAGCTCAAACCCAGGACATTTTTTAATACAAGGCGAGCGAGCTCGTAGACCATTAAGCCGCTGGGTCCCACCAGTCCATTAGGTAGTCCATAAAATTCTAACTTCTATCAATTCATGACATAGCACAACCATTTCACAGTGTCTTCTTCAATAAGTTACTACCTCCTGTACCCTACAGGTCACGGCTTTCTACTATAACCCCAGGTTAACTGCCTGAATAGAGCCAGTCGCAGGGCAGGAGTACTTTATGTGCAGATGTCTTCTTATAATATAATATAATTTCCTGCTGAGATAAAGAAGTCAAATGTGTTGGATGTGAACCTTTCTTAACAACACATCCTCTTTTGGCTCTGTATTCAGATGTCGTTTTGTTAAGTAAGCTTTCTCTGGCACAAGCTGACTCCACTCCTATTAACTAGTTGCCTGATTATTCATCGAATCAAAATGGAGGAAGAATTTATGTTTCTTGAAAAGATGTTGAAGAGAAATGCGTACTCTTAAAGGTTCATCAACAAGTATGGGAGATCTGAAGTCTCAAATGTAAAACAAATCCCGGTGGAGAAAAAGCCAGTCTACATTCAACTTGATTATAAAGGTGAAAACATTGCAGCGATTATCAAGAGAAGATTGAGGACATCACTAGCCACAGGGTATCCTGCAGCTAAAATCGTTCCCGTCTATCTAACGACTTGCTCTTTGGTGCAATCAGAAATCGATAGATATCCACCCTTCTCATGTTAACAACTCCAACTGTATATGCAAATTTACATGTATCTACGGGAGCAGTTAAATTGGAAGAACAGAAAGAAGGGCATATCTAAGATTTCCTGAATGTGTACTAAAAAGCCCAATGTCTAAAGGGAACAAATGGTTTGCACAAATGCCATCGCCAGGCATCTTCTAGACACATGTCATGAGGTAGACGTCGCAAAATCGTTCAAAATTATCAGTAGGCGCAAAACAGCTCAATTCTCCTCAAGTTTACTGAAGCCATCTCCATCAAGCGCCGGAAAACTGATTTGTGCCTTCAGAAAGAAACAGTTATCAGTCTTTCTTTGCCCAGCCTGAATAACTGAATATTTTCAACTCTCTTTCATCTGAATGCATAATGCTGAAAAGTTTCCATTGTATATGATCACTATTGTTCGAAATAGTGCAAAACTGTAGTTCTTGCTTTATTCAAAATGCACTGTACTGCTAAATCTCTATGGTTGGTGTGGTACATGTCCAAACCATGTCAATCAATGTGGCTTCATAACATCATCAGTTGACTTACCCATGGATTCTTGGACGCGAAAGTTTTAATCGAACTATCAGAGTATTCGAGTTACAATGTCATAGCACATTTAATCGCTTTGATTGTATAAGATTTGCCCAGGGTTTAATAAATAATTCCATTTGGTGACTTTTTCAAATGGTTATCTAGTTGTTCATTATAATGAAGCAATTTTGTATTTCCCAATGAATGAAAAACAAAATAACTACCTACCCAAAGAACTTCATCAAAAAAAAAATCAATAGTGACATTAAGTATGGTTGAAAACGTATTCCGAAAACATGGGCCTCAACACTTGTCATTCCATATTATAGAGCGTAGACATCAGACGATATCAGAAGAGTACTCAATAAGGATGAGATCAGAGTTTCCTTCAAAACGCCAGACACACTGTCATCCCTAAGGATTCTCTAATTAACTGTGTCTATAAAATAAAATGCTTGGAATGTATGATGCGATATACATAGGACAAACCTCGCAAAAGAGAGAAATCAAAATCAGAAGAAATGAACACCGTAGAGCATCTATTCGACCACCGAGAAATTCAGTTAGTGAACTGGAAAAGTTTTAAGAAAAATCATCAGCCATAGGTTGTTTACAAGCCATAGAATCAGGTCATAAAAATTGATTTTTTTTTTAACGTTGAAATAGTGTGGAAAAATTTCAGAAATCACAAAGAACGTCTCATTTCATCAGAAGCACTTCATATCACATGAAATACAAATTGTCTGAATAGGAATGATGATGGTTGAAAACAGAATTTGACCTGCTTGTAACACTTACGCCAGTCTCCTATGAAATGACAAAGTCAACACGAGTATGATAAAGAATTTTATTATGTAAACACACGCTACTTATATAACTCTACACACTTATCAAATCCAGCAATCTACACCTGGTTTTGTTATCTTTATCAACTGGCCAATTTGCCAAGTTGAAAAATGTCCCCGTGTTGATGAACGATGATTAAGTTTTTATATGAAAGCTGAGTGGCTTTTTTAAATTCTGGTTTCATATTACTACTTTGATGAAGCTATTAGCAGCATGAAATAGCGAAACGTCAGTAGAAACAACGACAATATCTTTTTGTTTTCCATTCATTGGGGAATACAGCCACAGAGTTAGAGCTACATGCTCAGAAGAAGTGATTGAAGATGAATTAAGCCTTGTATATGATACTTTGATCGAAAAATTTATGAAAAAACACATGACAAAGAAAGCGGCGGATAAGGACTACTCACTATCTGTAAACAAGAAGCCACCTTACATACGACTGCAATTTAAGCGCGATATACCACGTGAGATAATTCCGAGGAAATTAATACAATCAGTTCAAAGAACTTCTAATGCTGGCGAAAATACACGTCTTATTCTCTTATTCACGACCGATGGTGTTACCTCGACTGATAGATGAAGTATCTAGACTAGCTGGCCACTTCAGATTGTATCTACAAATACAACTGCGCTTGTGATGGAGCGAGTTATATTGGCCGTTGCTCTAGGAACTTGGTTTTTCGTGCTCTCTTCAGAACATCTCCCAGGATGGCTAAGTAAAGGTGTAGTTAAAATCATTAACAGCTCGATTTTGGACCATCCAAACCGACCACAAAGCCAGCGTGGAAGAATCCTCCTCTATAATCTACCGGGTGCCTAATAAATTGCCAAAATCATCATCGAAGCACCGCATGCTCCAAACAGCAAAGGCTATTGCAATTCGGTTCGAACAACCAGTGTTCTGTGTTCAAAAGAAGCAAGCCCAGCTAGCCCTTATTACTGCCCTGGCCAGCCTTCAGTAGAGTCGATAAAAATTCGTAAAATTTGTAATATTAACTTTCCTAATTTTTCTGACATTCAGCTTATTTTATGTTGATGCTGTTGAGCTGTAATCTATCAATATTGTTATTGATTCGATGTTATTTAAACAGCAACATTAATGTTGTTCATAACGCTAATTCATTCATCCACTATAACGTGTAGATATAACTGTATAGCCGGATAATGAGGTTATCGAAAAGAGTATTCTTTGTTCAGTATCCATTATTTTGACAAATACACAAAAACCTTTACTATAATGAATATCATATACCGAGTGCCGAAATGTTTTCAAACTGGATACCTAGATGAGTCAGATTTGAACCTTTTTCTGGATTACTTTTTATTTATTTTTACATTCCCCTTTATTACTGAGTGCAACAAAGAGCTTCAAGCTAGAAGGTTTGAGTTTTCAGTAACAGCAGTTTTATTTTATGCGGCGTGATATTGCTAACCTCACGCATAACCTTCACCCGTCACCGGGGTTTTCTACCAGCTAAACGTGATTTAGGTGTGAGTATGTTGAAGATTGAAACGCGAATCATATGCATAGTTGGCTAACGTCCTACCGTTGGACCACCTAGGCCTTCGTAGACTGTTAATTCTGTAGTCAACCAGGAGGACTATTCAATTTATGTCATAATGTGTTCAAAAGAAACTAGTCTAGCCTTTACAACTACCATGGATCTAGTTTGGAATGTTCCATTATACTTCAGTTTTTTTGTTTTGTTATCTGTGTGTGTGTGTGTGTAATTTTCTCTCTTTGCCTTCATTCAATTCATCCTATTTTTCCAGTTATAAAATTAATTATTTTAAGTTTGTTTCCATGCTCCTTCTGATTACATTTGTAATCCGTTTGGAATAACCATTTTACAATTAATTATATTCTAATCCTGTGTAATTTATTTTAATTTTATTTTTGATTACAACCTGATTCCACACTATATTTTTGGTACAAGTATGGAATTTTCAGCGTGGATATCGGTAGCCCAAATTTCGCCGGCTGACCATAGATATCAGGTGTGCGTCGGCGTGGGCTCGAACAACGGACCATGTGCATGGTCGACGAGAGTCCTAACCACTGTGTCACCGACGCCTCTTGTAATCTATATTACCACCTCCTAATTTACACTTCAAACTGAAAATTTTGATTTCATTTTTTTTTCTATGCTCATTTTGTTCACACCTGTAATTCATTCTATCCCTGCGTTTCTAATCCTCTTGTAATTTATATCAAGTTGAAAATAATTATCACCTTTTATTCGCCTTTAAAACTATTATTTCTCCAGTTATCAAATATTAACTTTTGCATACGTTTTAACTGTTTTCTAATCCTATACAATCTTGTCTCTAAGCCGCTTGTAATCTATATTCGTACCTTCAAACTATCATATCAAGTTGAAAATTATTATCACCTTCTTTACTATGTGGAATTAATTAAACAAATAATAATTGTATCCATGTAAACAAATCTATATAAATGTGATTGTACAGCTGCTTTCGAGAATGAAATCGCCGAAAAGATCGCCTCCATCTTTGCTCAACTTCTTGTTCTTTTCAGTATAATTTAATGCAGCACCAGAAACCAAGGAGTACTGGACACTCACTTCCCCCCACCCCGCAGTGTAAGAATCTTCGTCAGCACGCATTCAAGACTCCACTGAAGACTGAAACTTGAACCTTCGGGTAATAGAATCTATTTGTTAATGAATTTTTTAGGCCAATTTCATGTGAAAAAGCTTAGATAAACAAAAACACAAGCAAACACACATGGTGACAGGAGAACGATTAAAAAGGCCGACTTACTAAATATGTTAAATACGAAATTTTTGGAAGATTTTGCGATGCAGCAAATTTGAATGTCACAGTTGTCAAAAGTAATAATAAAGATAATTGGAGTCGATTTTCATTAGCGGGTACAGAGAATGCAGCAAAGGATAATAGGCAGAGAACGCAGCTTATCAATACCATATTGACCATAAAATAACCAGAACGACGTGCTGACCGACTTGTAAACACTAGACCAGGATGTCGACGTTTACTTGTTCCAGGACTATAACCTGTTTGAATTTCCATTGATTTTATCTGGGAAAGCAAAAATAAACATTGAAGCGATGTGTATGTGTGTATGCGTATGATGAGATAGGGGGGATGAGTGATATTGTTAAAATTTGATAAGGGAAACTCTTCCGCTAACTGGTAAGTGAAGCAATAAAATCGTTTAGATTTCGACGGTTTACTGTGGAATAACTCCATTATGGATAAGATTTTATTTTGATAAAGTTTTACAGTGTTTGTTATACAGTAATATTTACTGATGACCACGTTTCGAGCACAATTTACTGCTGCGCATAATCAAATTAAGCTACTCATTCACACAACTCTCTTGTTTCAATCTATATACATGAGTAAAAATTGATGATTAGACAATTGAATAAAATCGGTAATATAAGATGAGGTACATTCGGACTACTGGCTTGCCATTTTTCTAGCCGGTCCCAAGCCCGGATAAAGAGCGAGGGTTATGTCGTGGTGCTAGCAACTCCACCCTCAAAACTTAACCGAACCGCTACAGAAACTTCAATGCACAAATATATATTAAAAATTCTAATAAATATAAACAGTAACCTTATTTTTCGCTGGAATCGGGGAAGTAAAATGACACAGACTGGTGAAAGCCTTCAGGAAGCCAGTCAGCCGATGTTCCTTCTTTCGATGAAAGCGAATATAAGGATGGTTACGTGGAATGTTCGTACAATGTACGAAACTGGAAAGGCTGTCCAGGTAGCAGCAGAAATAAGGAGATATAGAATAAAAGTGCTGGGAATCTGCGAGAGCAGATGGAACGGATGTGGTAGGTGCCAGCTATCAACTGGAGAGACAATAATCTATTCCGGCCACCCAGAGGACAATCACGAACATTCAGAAATAATAATCTTAGTGTTATCAATCAAATACAATCAGATAAGAAATAAGATACTCGTTACAGTAAAAATAAGTAACTTTTCAGGATGCCATAATGTGATTTGAATACATTTTAATATTATTTATTGTCCTCTGATTTGAGTGGTGGTGATGATATCCTCCATTTCTCTAGTATTTTGCGTTGAGTGTTGGCTGTCGACCGGATGAACCAGGATTTAGTAATTAACCTCTCCAGCTCTTCAAGTACCTATATTACTTCTTAGAAATTTCACTCTGTCCCACCCATCCTATTGTGTGGTTGTGTGTTAATGTATGCAGTGCAACTGCTGAGCTTTTTTCCAAATTACTTATCTTCTCGGAGTCAACCATTCTTACCTTAGCTAAATTCTTATGTTCTGACAATCTGACTTCCTCCGATCACAGTTACTGCAAGGTATTTTATAAATTATATTATTTTGTTTAATTGGGTCAACCGGATCTCATAACCTAAAGAGCTTATCTCTGAATGAGTTTGTAGGCTTGAATGCCACCCTTATTCCTACGATGCACTCAGAATTGTTGAGGTTAGATAGTTGGAAGCAATCGGTGTGAAGTCCTGGCTGGACTCACTTAGTATGGTGGTGAAAGTGACTGATAGAATTTAGTCTACATCAAACAAAAGACAAACAAAGGACGCATAACACAATTCATTACTTAGCATCTACAGTGTTCAGCTTCTACTCTCACTTTGGAATACCGTCGGTTAGCATATTTTGAGTGTATTCATCCAAAGAACTTCGTGTGAAATGAAACCAGTGCTTTAGATTTACAAAGTCAGACAGCAGCTGGGTGTGGGAGGTGAATGACATCTTCTCATTGATGAATTTCTGAAGTCAGCGTAGATTGATTAATATTGAGCTGGTAAAGTCACACAGAGCGAATGTTTAGCAGTTCAGGCAAGTGGCTCCACTAATACATTCTTAGTGTATTCAGTTTCTGAGGTCACTTTGAGCTGACTCAACTACTGTGCACAAACTATTATTTCCTATTCACATTACCCACCTCATGTTATCCTGAAACTAGTTCAGTTTATCATCTGCTATTCGATTTCTGCTAGAAGGCCAACATGGTCTGTCTATCATCAATCGAAAGTCTTTTCAGAAGAAAATATGCTGGTGTGACATTTAAAAATCTACAGGATATTTTTACAAAAAAAAACAATTTCACTCCTTTGTGTTCTGAGTGGAACTTAGGGCTTCAACAACACATCTCCACTTCGTTCTATTCTCTGCCTTCCTGTTCAGTTAGGTCCACGATTGCGCATAGTCTCTCACCTTCCCCTTCTCCTCCAAATCACACGATCTCCTCGATGCCCTCCTCCGCGCACCGAACACACATTCGTCGTTTTCTATAAGCATTTCACTGGAGTAATGGAGCACGATGTTTTTCCATGGCCTCAACCGATCCATCTCCATTTTTTCTCACTTATTTGTTGAGCAATCGGCCTTAACCCATTGGTTTGTTCCGCTGCAGAAATTCTTCTTTGTAATTCTTTCCGGCCAGCCGGCCCACCGGCCGTTTGATCTTCAGTATGCAGCTAGCCAGACAGCCAGCCAGTAAAGTTGGAAGCTGTTGACAAAAGCTTGTAACTGGGTATTGGAAATGTTTTTCGTAGCACACAGTTGAAGTTTCTGACCTGTATAGAAGAATTGACTGACTTCCCTGACGTTTGTGTTGAAAATGTGAATCTTGTTCTTCGTGCGACTGTGTCAATAGAGAAGATTTGCATATTGGTTTAAGATTGATGAAGGCATATTCTCACCTTTCTGACTCTAGCTAGCATTGACATCTTCAATCATTTCCTCCGTGGTTGAAACAATGCTCACTGCCTGGATAAGTGAAGGGAAGAATTCACCTGTGCCAGATCTCTCCCGTTGACAATGATTGATGCTGGTTGTTATCTCTGTCAGTTGATCAGTTGGTTATATTTATCACCTCCCTTGCTATACCATCTCTATGTTCGCGTGAAGTCCACAGGGCCTCAATGCCATCGAGCGTCTTCAGTCGGTTTATTGTTTTTCTTCTGCCTGCGAGTCTTTCAGTTTGTGTGACATTAAACATAGATCTAGATCTTCAAGAGTGTTCTCGCAGGTCAGTGCACGTGGCGTTGCTAACCTCATATCCAGTACGCTTCTACAGGTTTATTACGTACTAAGTAGGGAGGTTTGGAAGTGAGTCGGTTGGGAAGTGAACCGCGAATCGTATGCATGGTTGCTGAGCATTCCATCACTATACCACTCACGAAATAAGAAAGCTCTTTAAAATATATAATAATGATAATAAGGTATAGTAAAGAAAAACCACTTTGATCTTATCAACCTACATCAACATGATGAAATATTTTCCACTCTTGACTATCCTCTGCACATCTGACATCGACTTGGCTAACTTCAGTTGGTGAAGCGACTAATTCAACTTCATCAATGGTTCGATCACATGTAATTGTTACTGATAAATCCTATGAGAGGGAAATATAAACAAAAAGCAGAACAAATTGGTGAAAAATTTGTAAATACGTTTACCAACTGCTTCAGAAAATTTAAGTGAAACTTCCCATTTAAACAGACAAGACACGATAAATCTGAGTTTAGTCATGAGATGTTATCTCAGTTAGAGAGCCAATAGAAAGCCAGCTGGGAGTAATGGACACTTGTTTCCGCATAGTTTTGAGATTTTCAGCAGTACTTACCTGCCGGCGCTAGAACCAAAGACCTTCCGGTTCAAATGTTATCTCGCATACCATTCACCCACTGGTTTGTACCATAATGAGTGTGCATTACTGAGGAGTACTAAAATAGAATGCGATAGCTGTCCACTACGCCGTGGGTTTCCTAATAGTTTTTTAACCGATATCACCTGCAGGTAAAACCTGTAGCCAATCGAACTCCTTCCAGCTAACATTTGACAGCAAGTATATAGCGAGTAAACACGTAATTTCCAGTTTGATCCTCATGAGTTTCCCCCCTTTGTCCCTCTCTTATTCTCTTTCTCTCTCTCTCTCTCCATGTACAGCTATTTCAATTGATGTTTCGGTGTTTGATATGAATCACAAGGTATCACGATTCTGGGAGTTTGATTGGGGGAGGTGTTGTTTTCAAAGGTAGGGCTGCTAGCTTTGTGACAAACGTTTGCTCTATCTCAGACCCACTACAGGCTAGTAAGCTAGGCGAATTTCAGGTGTGTGTTGACTGATAAACGACCAGGGAGCCTACACGTTACTGGTAAGTCAAACGACGCACAGTAGTTTTTGTTACAATACGTGTATTACCAATATTGTGAGGATGACATGATATGTCAAACTTCCCTTTAAAAGGAACCATCGAAACTAGAATTTCTGTAAACGCCTTCTGTCGGAAGACATCCCTCATTGATGAACTGTGAATATTCATTGTATACAGGCGAGCTGGTTGTCCAACTATGGGGTCATTATTCTGACCAGATATATTTGTACCCTGAAATTGTTGTATTAAATCTGTTTGTCTAATTACCACCTCGTTTGATGTACCAATGCTCTTTATTTACTGACAACAAACTTTTGGACCAACCTCAACCCTGGTGGCCACAACGTACATGATCCATCCTCGTAACTGAGCAGAGACCTGAGTCCAATCACTAAAGTGGTTTGTAAGTGAGTACTGTAGAATAACCTGATACAAGAGGTGAGCATCGGTGGCACAGGTGTAGAGTGCTCGCCGACCACGCTGGCGGTCAGGGGTTTGATCTCCCACCGACGCATTCCTTTACCTCGGTAAGCCGGTAATAAGACTGGTGAAGAGGGAAGGTCGAGTATGAGGCTAGCAACTCCATCCTGTAAAAATGATCACCACTGCTACAGAAACTTCAACCCTCTAGCCTGAAGCCCTATGTTCCACCGGAAACACAAAAAGGAATAAAAAAGACGAAAGAGGTGTCGGTTTATAGCGAAATCTATACTGTAACCACTTGAACACTTACACTCTGAATAGATTGTTTGTATTATATGAAACCTTTATCATATTCTTGTGAAATAATAATGAATGTCTTGATTACTTAGTGGCTGTATGCGTTTAAAATTACTACTATAAACGGATACCCCAATATTATCATGACTAATAACTCGAAATGATGCATACCTGGCTAAAGTATCATTAGAAGTACAACCTCCCTCACTTGGAATCCCGTAAATTTAGCGTGGAGAGTTCTAAATAAGAAAAAAATGTGCATCACAGGGTTCTACCACCTATCACCATGGAAACTACACTACAAGTTACGAGTAGCATATCTGTTTAGCAAAGGAAAACATTTGTAGCTTAAGTTGGGTGATTAGATCAATTATTATGCTTTCACTGGTGTCCATAACAATTTAACTTGTCGACTGAGTTAATGAGTCTCCAGGTGATCCTAACAGCTTCTATTATTGAATTATAGGGCATGGAAGAGCACTTAACAATTTCTGTACGCAAATGAATAACACTGGCGTTATTCGGGTGTTATTATTTATTGTCGGATGATGATATCGTTTAACGTTGAAAGTGTCAATAACCTAAATAATACGAAGGATGTAATAATGGTGATTGAAAATTTAAAGAAACGCTAATTTAGATTATACAAAAACGCTATGCAGCTTATATTTCAACATTCAGTCGAAATGCGAAATGACATAAGTTTTAGAAATAATCGTTGAGGCTGTTAAATGCATCTTTCTGAGATGTACCCTGAATGGTCAGTTCTCTTTCAACAACGAAATATATCTTCGAAATGATGGTATAGCTATGATCTCACTACTAGGCCCATTGTTTGCAGATTTCTTCATGGCAAAACTCGGAAACACATGCCTAAAGAAAATTATAGATACCTTCGAGTTCTACAGGAGATACGTCGACGACACTTTCATTATCGTCAACAATGAGGAAAATCTAGATGACATATTAAATTCCTTTAACAACGCTGAGAAGATCTGTCTATTTATCTATCTTCCTAACTTTCACAGTTCGGTACCTCTATACATCAAACGAAATTTGATCCGTTCGCTCATCTACAGAGTTCCCAGAATCTGCATCCCGGATATCAAAATAAGACGAACTGAACAACTTCAAGAGAATCCTAGTTGAAAATTGTTGCATCGAACGATTTATTGCGAAATCAATTAATCCTAGACCGCAAAATCTCCACGCTTAGCGCCTCGAAAAACTCCATTTACATGAACCTTCAATTCAATGAAGATTCATCTGCAGAAACAATGAAAAATCGACTGTTCCGTTCACGTAAGTAAACCTTCTTTGTATGTGAACTACGATTAACCTTCTTCACGAAACCCATGATTCGTATGAATGTGAAGGATAAGCTACTACTGCTGGCCTCATTAGTGTGTATATACCAATTCACCCGCATGCGTGGAGCCAGGTATGTCAGCCATATCCAGCGTTCGCTTTCCAAAGGTATAACTGAACACTTACCAGCACGGTTTCACAAAGGAGAAAAACAATGTCCCCGCGGCTCTATCTTAGAACATCTGATGGATTCCGGACACCGAGCTACACCGCAAACAAACTACTAAGCAGTCTTTCTAAAAGTGTTCGAATCAAATTTCTTCAAACTGCAGAAGCAACGGCAATTCACTTGCTAAGTCATGAACTCTGTATACGGAAGAAGTTCGTTGAATCACTACACTTTCAATGGGCAGAATCTATCATAATACCCGATGGGTCAATTCTATTTATTTCTGTCTCTTCAGTAATATTATTTTGTGTTTTTTAATTGTAATATTCTACATTTTTCAACTTTCCTGTTCTCTACCCTCATCCGATTTAATTTCTACACCTCATTATTACTGTTACTGACTTGACCAACGTTGTCCAATTTATTTGCTCAATTTTAGTCCTAATTTAAGTGGCAATATTCTCTGCCCAACCTTTACTTAGTCTTTACATGTAATTACCTCTGTTGCTATCCTGACCTAAGTTGAAACATTTTAGTCAGTGATATTACGTCACCTAACTTATTAACTCAATCTTACTCTAGTTGCTGTCCAATTACCCTTGTTTCTATTTTAGATCATTCTTGTATTACCTAATTAATTGTCTAGACTTGACAAACATCATGTGCCACACAGACACAAAAATAATTGTACAGCTATGTGAATGAATTCACCGAAAAGAGTCTCTTCGAAAAACGTCTTCTCTTTTTCATATGATTTGAAATTCGGTGATGAATTGACTTAAGTTAGAGAACAAATGAATACCATCAAGTACTGGGTGACCGTTCGATCGTACTATCGAGCCCACCTGGCGTATTTCGCCATGACAACAGTCTGTACAGGTTACGAGGTGAACTTGCTGGCCATTCAGCCGATGGCTGTTGCTCTACATATCGTAAATAGGCAGAAGTCAGAGTTTATGAATCGTTAAAGTTAACTCTAGTAGCTGAACCATTGACGAACACGTCTTATAACTTGAAGGTCGTCGGTGTCAAGTTAGGGTGTGATCATGCGTGCATACCACTGCAAAAGCCTATAAACTAAGACAAACAGATATCTGTTACTATCTGATGGTCTTCACTTGTTCCCTGAATTAAGTCAGCTTGTGATGAAAATTTGAAATTACTTGGATCCTTGTGATGTAACACTACAAAACACACTCTAATTTTAGAACTCACCTGACAATCGAATGGAAAATGACGTAATTCTAAAGTTTCATGAAAGACTCCTTTAATTCGACGTTTTTCAACAAGATATGCTTCAAAATCTGGTTCAACAAATTCCACTTCATGACTGATTATTTCAATCGGTTCACCCTGAGCATTATCAATCAATAGGCGTGGATTCCAGAATTCATCATCTTGTAATTTAAGCTAACGAAAATTTAAGGTAAAAATAAAAGATTAGAAAACAATTATTTCAGTGTATAATATTGGTGAATTGAATTATAATAGTGTTTGTCGTTAACAGATATGAGCTGGGTAGCCATTGAAAATCAGGATAATAATAATTTTTTTTACTTTATTCCAAAAACAGTACTAATGATACAGCAAGGAATTTTCAGCATTTCAGTACAATATTGCATCTGATTTACTCAAAAACGACAAAAAAAAATTAAAAATACACATTACATAATAATAATAATAAAACGATTGTTATAGCAGCTACATAGCAAAATACCGTATGCCATACGGTGAAAAATATGCATAAAGTACAAAATTTTAGTAATAATAGTAATACCAACTAAAATAAAATAGCAGAGTAATAATTAAACGATAGAAAGTGTGATACTTTAAAATACAGAAAGATGAACGATGAAAGGGTCGATTCACTGTGCTAATTACATAGTAACTTATAAGTTTCACGTCTAACAGAGTCTTCGTCACATAAAGTACGGGCTAGATAGGGTATTGTAGAATTTCTGTACTTAGTGGTATGAGCATATAACTTTTTGTATTGACTTCTCGTCCTACCTGATGAGATAGATACAAGGGGATAGTTGTGAATAAAGGGAGTGCAGAGGGTCTGACAGTATAGCCTTTGCCCATTTCATACAGGAATTTATATGCCTGTTGACTATAGTATTAGCGAGCTCATGCAGTGGCAGACCACAAGCCCTACTCACAGCATTTAATACTCTTCGTTAGATGATATAGTCTTTTTTGAGAAGCCCTCGAAAGATTAATGGAGAGCAATAGAGTACAATAGGTAAAATACAGGAGTTTAAAAATTGCAAAACTAAAGGTTAGTTGATACCTGATTGTCTTAACTTTTTAATGTAGAAGGTAAGACGAAACATTTTCTTAGAGATAGATATCCTGGGCATCTGTTTCTCCCTAGTTTGAGACTCTTTATTAGTGCGTACTTAGGAGTCCACCAGGGAACGAATTCGGGATTTTCCGGATCGTGATTAGATCTTCATTGGAATCAAAGGATTTCCTACAAAACCCGTAATCTAAATGTTAATCTTCAGCCTATCGATGGTTTCTGCGTCGATATCCTGAGGATGTGGTAAGACGTCGTGGCCAATTGAGACCACCGCATCAACCTGAATCGGGCGCTCACCAATATTAATGGTTAGTAATAATGCTACATCACAAGCTGTCAGAAGATAAAATCACAGGGTCAGTAAATTTCTCATTCAAGTAGCTGAGTTGTTTGCGAGCTTGGTCTGGTAGCCTTAAGGTCCCAAGTCTGATCCTTGTTAGAGTTATAACAGAGTCACTCTGCTGAAGACTCCTAAACAAGCACTAAACAGCTGTCTGATACTTCATAGCTCTCACTAACATTGACTGGTGACGTAATCTGCAATGAAGTTGATTCCAGCATCTTACAAAACCTAAAATTTATGCAGTTCTCATTTTGTAAAGGCATTTGTAAACATGTACTAGTCTCGCTTAGAAAAGAAGTAACCAAATCAGCCATCTTTTCCAGTGGATAATGAACATCACACTGAAGTAGATGGGCCACTTACGATTGCATATCGTGCGGTGCAAAACACTCAGTCTAAAGGTAGACGATTATTGTCTCCTAGCCGAGACAGAATAAACTTAACCTCGGTGCGCAGAAAATGCATAAATCCCTTATGTTTACCTTGGTCTATCATAAGGTACTCATAGAGATCTTTTTGAGTACAACCACGGATTGATATCGATTAGAGAACCATTGTAAACCTGCACTAGAGTACTGGACAGCTGTTTCCTCAGCATAGTTTAGGACTTATCAGCAGTATGCACCCACCCATCCAGTTAAAAAAAGCAAGTTCACAGACAATTCAGCCACTGGGATCCAACTCAGTGATAAGTCCATGAATTCTGAATTCCAACATTTCATGATTTTAGCGCCACTACCAACCAGTATCATTGGTGGGAACTCTATCCTCACACCCAACTAGAGGCCAACAGCACTCAGCATCAAAAATAAGATCCGGATTTTTTACTTCAGTGTGAAGTCAGTACTACTATATGGATTAGAGACTTAGCGAGTCATAAAGAGCATCTCAAACAAACAATAAACCTTGATTAACAGCTATCTTCGCTCAACACTCAAGATCAGATGGCCAGAAAATGTTCAACAAACAGATATCTTTAGGAGCGAACCAACCAGGAACTAATTTTGCAACACAAATCGACAGGAAGAAATGGAGATGGATTGGCTGGCCATACTCTGAGAAAACAAACCATCAAGTGACATCACTAGACAAGCCATTGCTTGAGTGGAACCCGAAAGGGAAGAGGCGAGTTGGTCATCAGTGCAAAGGTGACTTGGAGGAGGTCATGTGAAGAGGAGGAGATGAAAGCATGTGTGAACAGACTTTGAGCCGGGTGAATGCGTTGGCAGAGAACCGAAGGCAGTGGAGACGCGCGGCTGAAACCCTATGTTCCTCTAGGAATTAAAGGAAATAATGATAATTATGTGACTGCCAAACTAGGATGAAACAGATGTCCAGTAAACTCTCGTTTTCAATCATTCTCCGACTGAAATCAATCCGTGGTGAAAGTCGAAAAACATAAAATAAATCTTTACATACCAACATTTGAAAACTTATAGAAGTGGCTATCACATCATGTTTTCATGTCTTATTATTTCGGAACAAAAAGTTGTTATAGCGAACAATAGCCGCTTTCAATAAATTGTTCTTCTTGTTTTCTTCACGTTCTACATTTATAAATCCTCCAAATATTAACATAGGCTACTCAGATAGTAAAAGCAGGTTACAATTACATCAGAAAGTGTGTTGTGGAACAAGTATAAGTAAGATGGAATGAGATAATAGTCAGTTAGGTTAGATTATCATTTAAAAATCGATGATAGGAATATAAAGCACACTTGGGAGTGTGAATTATTATTGTATCCTTTAGTTCCTAGAGGAACATAGGGCTTCAGCTGCGCACCTCCATTGCCTTCGGTTTTCTGACAACGTTTTCACCCTGCTCCAGGTCTGTCCACATGCTTTCATCTCCTCCTCGCATGACCTCCTCCAAGTCATCCCACCCTGTCACTGACGATCAACTCGCCACTTCCCTTTCGGGTTCCATTCGGTCAGTGGCTTGTCTTGTGATGTCACTTGATGGTTTCCTCAGTGTATGGCCAATCCATCTCCATTTCTTCCTGCCTATTTGTTTCACAATCGGTTTCTGATTGGTTCGCTCCCAGAGATCCCTGTTGCTGATCTTTTCTGGCCATCTGATCTAGAGTATTGAGCGAAGACAACTGTTAATGAAGGTCTGAAGTTTGTTTGAGGAGTGTGAGAAGTGTGTGTGGGGAAGTGTGAATACATGAATATAAAATATGATAGAGGCGAAATAGGATGAGTGAAATGTTGTCAAAGTTGTAGGCTAGATAAAACAGTGTTAGAATATGATCGTATAAAGCTGAAATGTCACATGGACTAAAGAAGGATAAATAATAATAAATAATTTTTCCTTCACGCTTCCCAGTGGAACATAGGGCTTCAAGCTAGTGGCTTGAAGTTTCTGTAGCAATGTTTTTTATTTTTACAGGATGGGGTTGCTAGCCTCATGCCCAACCTTTCCTCTTTACCAGCATTAGTTCTGGCTCAGCGAGGTAAAGGAGTGCGTCGGTAGGGGATCGAACCCCGGACCATGTGCATGGTCGGCGAGCGTCCTAACCGCTATACCACCGACGCACAACAAAGATTTTATGTGATTCGCACAATAAAATCAAAACTATGGTAATCAAGGAGATCGTACAAATCGATTTTATACGTAAAGTTCTGATTTTATGTATTATTAAAGCCTCTTCTATACAAAGCAAATGCACTCGTGTCTTTTTCAGGAGACTTTGTCGGGCTTTGTAGACTATTTTAAATGATATGTCAGATGCTGCGTGGTCAGTATCTACAATGTGTTACAATATCGGTGAATTATTACCTCTACGTTCTCCTTTACTCAGCCAAATTTGGAGGGGTTCAGCTAGAACGCTGAGAGATATGTTTCTTGACAAACGTCCTGTAAAACTAGCTCCACAAGAGCTGATGAGCACATAAATATACAAAACATTAGACAAGTGAGGTGATATTTCTTTGAAATTAAGGAGCACCAGTGGATGGCTAGAGTAGGTTATTCGTAAAGTGACAGTAAAGAATGTTTTTCTCAATGATCTCGTCAGGGGATTTCTAAATACTTCACTCGTAGTGTCACCTTCAAATTCTAAGTTTAGGTGGAACACTTTTTTAGCCACCTTGTAAATCTCTGTATGTCTTACATGCGGAGCTTGCTACCGGCCTCGATGAGCTGTGATGGATATCCGTTCTCTGTGAAGGTTTCTTTCAGTTGTTTAAGTTCATCATCAACAATATCTTCACTACAAATTCTCCACATCCGTATTAAGAGAGATCAGATTCCTTTCACTTTTCATGGGAACAAAACTGTAAAAATCGGTCACTTGGCCTATCCACATCGATATTTTGTAAATAGATCTTTTCAAAAATACGTCAGCTCTCCCTTTAAGGTGAGATAGTCCAGTGATGTATATATATATATATGTAGTCAGCGGGAGTACAGATTTCAAGGGTGAATGTAATCACTGGTGTGTGTGAGGCAGTACGAATACTACAGAAAAAAATAAACTGACAAATGGGATAGACTAGACATAAGTTCAAGGTTGCATATAACGACAATAATAACGATCATGTGGTGTGAACTTTAAACTACTATTCCTTAACGATTATTAAATAATAAAACTAAACATTTGTAAAAAAAAATTATATTTGTAAAATCTCAGCGATATTGAAATGAGTAATTCCAACGTTTCCTGTGTTCGGCTATCTGGTCCGAACTTCTTCAGGGAAATGAATCGAAATTAACACAACAGAGGTATATATATACAAGGAACATCTCTTGTTTTTAAA